CTTGCATTGCTTTTTATCATATCATGGGTCATATTTTCTTGCTTATTTGTGTGCCTGGTGATTGTGGCTTTTTGTTTTACCTTCTTGGATACTGGGTATTTTTGTATTTACTTGAGCTTTATTATGCAACGTGATTAAATTACTTGAATCATTTTGATCCTTTCAAGTTTGTGGTCTAAGCTCTGTTAGACAGGACCAGAGCAGCATTTAGTCTAAGGCTAGTTTATCCCCACTATTGATGCAAAATCTTTTGAGTACTTTACCCATTGCCCTCTGAATTGTCAGGTTTTCCATGCTGGTTGGTGAGAAGAGCTATTCCTGGCCAGTGTGAGCTGTAGGGTTTGCTTCCTCTCTAATTAGAGTCTCATCCTTCTTCGTGGATCTGTCCTGGCCCCGGTAGTTTCCTCACAAATGTGATGATCTCAGATGGAGAGTTCTCTCTGTCTGCAGCTCTGCTCTCCAGTCTTACCCTGCAAATTCTGACTGCCTCCGCCTCTCTGGACTTGTAGCTCCTTCACCTTAGAGTAGCTGTGCCTAACTCCCCCTCTCTGCGCTGTCACCTGAGAACATCTCTCCAGACAGTAAGCTGGGACAATCCTTGGGCTCACTTCACTTTCCACCCCCATCTCCCAAGGATCACTGTCCTTCATTGTGGTCACTGTCCAGTATCTTGAAAACTGCCATTTCATACAGTTTCTCTAGTTTTCTAGTTTCAGATAGAGTAAATTTAATCCTGGTTGGTATATCCATTTTACACACTAGAAAATTGAAGGTCTGAAACAGTAAGTAGCTGTGAGCTACAGTAAGTAGTAGTGGAGCCAGAACTGGAATCTAGGCATTATAAGGCATTATACACCAAGACCTGGTGCTTTTCCCACAATGTCGTGCTGCCTTTTCTAAGTAGCAATTTCCTTATGTAATTGAAGTTTACCCCTTTAAGCCTTAAAGTTTAAGCTAAGCCATTTTTTTGTTGGAAAAAATTAAGAAATGATTAAGTACTCCCTGCCTTCTTAAACCTCTTCCAAGGTGGTGCTAGTGGTAAAGAACCCACCTGCCAATGCAGAAGACCCAAGAGGTTCTGGTTGAATTCCTGGGTTGGGAAGATCTCCTGGAAAAAGGCATAGCAACCCACTCCAGTATTCATGCCCAGAGAATCCCATGGACAGAGGAGCCTTCTTAAACAGAGCATTTTGAACATATTTGAATCTCTACATTATTAATACTAGTTACAATTTTCTGTCATGGTTATCAACCCTATCTGACCTAAGCAACCCCTTTTTAATGAAATACTTAATGAGTTTAGTAGTTAGTCCCTTTTATCCTGAAGCATCTGGACCCTTGACAATCACCAGGCTGGGACTGCTGCACTTGCTGCAAGTGTGATGGGCAAAGAAGTGCTAGCAGGTCCCTCACTTGCCCGACTGTACTAAAATGGCCCTCCTCTTCCTGCTGATGAGGGTCAGTTACCCCTGAGTTCAGGTCCCTGGACACAGAGTTCAAAGTGCCCTGGGGGGCAGCCATAGCTTATAGTTGAATGGACTCTTGCTGTGGGCCCTGGCAAGTGTAACCCTCTTGAGAAGTAGGACCTTCAACCCCGTAGGGCTTTGTGAGAACAGCAAGGGTAACCCCACCACCACCACTGTGAGTCATGGGGAGTAACAGTGAATGGGGCTACTCTTGCTTCTATCCCTTGTGGTTCCTAGACCCACATATTATTGAGAAAGAAGGATCATTAGAGGTCCCTCATTTAACACATATCCCACATTCTGAAAAATGGCAGTGCAGTCTTTTAGTGTATTGACTCTGAATACTATGAGTTGGTGCTTCACTTGTGCCTTCAAAAGGTAGTTCCAGTGTTCTGTGAGGCTGCTGCTTCTGGCTGGTGCAGGATGTAATATATAATATAACTAGTGGGTTCCATGGTCATGGGCTCACTCTCACACTTACTTTGCCGTAAAGTGGGTTTCCTGGTTGGATGCTATGTTATATAGGATACTTGTGGATTGCGGAGTCTATATAGATAGTAGTGCTGGCTGAGGCTCTGCAAACAGGGAACACAAGCCCTTACGTAGAACAGCTATCCATCCCTGTGAGGAACAAACTGCTGGCCCTTTTGGGATGAAGGGAGTCTGAAGTAGTTGATTTGCCAAGTAGCCAGTTGGTCTCTCTGAGGATCAGTGCCTATCGCTGACAGGTTAGCCATTTCAGAGCAAGAGCAGCTAGACTGACCTTGGTGATCTATATGCACGTTAGGGAAGGCAGTGGATTCCCATCCCCCAGATCTTCCCTCCACCACTCTGACTCAGCTCTCTGCCCTTAGGAGGCTGACCTCTTTGTTACCGCATCATCTGGGCTCCCCTGCCCTATAGGTTTGATCACTGGGAGGCCCAGCAGATCAGAGAGTAAGAGGAAAGATTATCTCCTAGCTTCTTATCTTCCAAGTCTTGGTTTTGCAGACCTGTCAAGGGACACACCTCCTCTAGAGCAGACCTTTGTCTAGCTCTGAGCATTCACAGGATTCCAACAACAGTTCCCTCTTCTCACTTCAGAGAGAAATAGTCATGGCCTCCCACTGTTTATACTCCAGAATGCTTCTTTCACATCCCCTGTCGGCTTCACTTAATCTGCCCCACCATATAAACAGTCTCCACAATCAAACTATCTTCAGTTTGAATACTATCTCTTCCTTCCAGGGTCCTAACTGACATAAGATAGAGTATTTTCTTCCTTACCTTTTAAAATGATGTGTAGACAGTAAACATATTTTCACATTTCCTTAATTCACTTGACAAATATTTGCCAGATCCTGCACTGTTCTTTGAGAGAACAGTGGCGAATAAGACAAAAGGGCAACTTTGTCTGTTAATAAAGAGGTAGCTTCAAACAGTGATAAATGAGTCCCCTGAGTAATCCTTCTGAAGACTGTGAGTGAAGCTTCCTTAGATTGGACAACGTGGGTAGGTCTTTCGGAGATAGTAAGGTTTAAGGACCCGAGGACCTTATCCTAAAAGAGGAGCTTGCTCAAGATCCTAGAGCAGGGCATTGCAGACAGTGAGGCAGTAGGCAAGGACAAAGGCCAGAGGAACCAATGAGCTTGGCTTTTTTCATACACAGAAGCTTCTGGAATATAGTGAACAATACATGCAGGTGATGGACAATTTGCCTATGTGTTTGTAGCAAGAATGAAGTGCCAACTTACAATATGGTGTTGACCTCTTTTCAAAGAAGACAATCTAGTTTGCTGAGCAAATACTTTTCAGGTTACTTATTGGGCATATACTAGATTTTAGCAAGACCTTCTCTGTCTAACGACTCAACTGTAACCCCAAGTCACCTAAGGTCACAGCTATGAAGTTGCAGGGGTGAGGTGCCAACCATTTCTGTTTTACTCCAATCTCAGAGGTACTTTTCTCCTCCAAGTTAAGGGAGTAAGGAGGAACATGTCAGCCGAAGGTCCTCAGCAGTTTTAAGAGCTTTGTAATGTGTCCAAAGAAGCTAATAAACCCGAAGATACCCAGAGAGGGAGCAGGAAGATACACAGGTCCTTTTTTATTTGTTTTTTTCCTCAAACCACTGCGTATTTGCCCAAATTACAAAGATCCAAGTTAGTCTGTTGTTTTTATTTGAGTATTACTGGAGTCAGTGGGAGACTATGTAGGACCCATTTTAGGATATAATATGCCAAGTAGGAATTTGAGCCAGCAGAGAATGCGCCTGACTTCAGTCTTGCCCCCCTTTCTTAAAAAAGACTGTTCCAGCCGCTTGATTATCATTCAGGTTTTCCTACTTTAACCACGTGTTAAAGAATATACAGAATCACAGTATGGCTTAAATGTGGTACATACTAGATGATTATTTTTGGCCATATTGTGTTTCCATTGGGCTTCACTGGTGGCTCAGATAGTAAAGAATCTGCCAGCAATGCTGGAGACCCGGGTTCAATCCTTGGGTTGGGAAGAACCCCTGGAGAAGGACATGGGAACCCACGCTAGTGTTCTTGCTTGGAGAACTCCATGGACAGAGGAACCTGGCGAGCTACCAGTCCGTGGGACCGCAGAGTCGGACACGACTGAGCGACTAACACGTTTTTGTGCTTCCATTACAGAATGAAGCTATCATCAGCTCATCAAAAGTTGGAGTTCTTTTCCCCTATCTTTTGCACTTGTTAAAAGTGTCAATTTTCTCAAAGGAAAGCCTTTACCTAGGTCAGTAATTGTAAGACTTATTACAATGGTCTGGCACATAATAAATGGTGAGGGTATTAAAGATTCTTAGACTCACTCCTCTGCCAGACGCAATCCCGATTAACTGCGTCTGTGTGAACGCACAAGAGGTCCCTTTCCGCCACCAAACGGCGCTAGCACACCATCCAGAAACGACTCAGCAAGTTGGCCCTAGGGTTTAAAGTTTTGAACTCTTTAAAAAAGTGTCAGAAAGGTTAATTCACAAGTTGAGGGGAATCTTCCCAAGAAATGGGTGATGCCGCAGCCAGCGGTGGGCCGCCGAAGGCGCTCTCAGTCTCCGGGCGCACCTCAGACCTCTTGGGATTTTGCATGTGGAACTCGGGCTGGGGAGTCGCAGACGTGCGGGAGCGGCAGTGGGTGCAGCCCGACGGCGAGAGCAGGTAAGGGCAGAGGTGCGTGCTGAGCGCTCTGCGCTCGCCGGGCGCGCTCGGGGGGTGCTCGGAGGAGCGGGCTTCCTTCCCGCCCCCGCCCCCTCGCCGCGCCGGGCCGCCGGGGCCGCTCCTCCCCTGGGTGGGTCCCGGCTCCTTTTCTGGCAGGGTCTATTTGCATAGAGGAAACTGCCCAAAGTGGCCGCTGTAGAGGAGCTGGCAGCGGGGAAGGGGGTGTGCGCCTCGGTCCAGCAGCTGCCCAGAGGCCGCGTCCCGCGCCCGGCCGACCTCGTGCCTCGGGCTCTCCCGACCGCTCCCACACGCTCAGCCCGCGTTCCCGGGTTCTGTGCACCGCCGGTTCCGAGAGCTCACGCTCGACGAGCGCGCCATGAGTCTAGGCCGGCGCGCCTGCGAGGACGAGCGGAACGGAGAGCCGGCTGGCGGCGGCGGCGGCGGCGGACCGGTGAGCCCGGCGACTGGAGCGCGGGCCTGGGCGGTGAGCGCGCTGTGCCTGCTGCTCTCCGCGAGTTCGGCGGTCGCCTGCCTGCTGCTGGGCGTCCAGGCGGCCGCGCTGCAGGGCCGGGTGGCGGCCCTCGAGGAAGAGCGGGAGCTGCTGTGGCGCGCGGGGACCCCCGACGCCTTGGCCGCCTGGGCCGAGCCGCGGCTGGAGCGCCTGCTGCGTGAGGTAGGGCGCGGCGTGCCGGGCGGGGAGTGTCCGTGCGCCGGGAGCCGTGGCGCTGGGGAGGGGTCGCCCGCCAGCGGTGAGCGCCCGAGTGCGTCCCGGCAGGCTGCACGGGGAGGGGTCGGAGACGACGGAGGCTGGGGTGCAGGCGGCCGAGCGATCGGTCCTACAGTTCCCGCCCCAGCCTCAGGGTCGGCTTGCGGGGAAAAACAGGCTTAGAAGGACGGTTTCGGGGACAAGTAGGGGGAGGAAGAGGAAAGACTGCGGACTTTGAAGTAACAGATCAAGGGGCGAGTTTCCACGGGTGTGCGCGCTTGGACCGGTGGCTTCCCCCTGAGTTAAGCGCCTGCCCTCTTACCTGTGCCGGGATAATGAAGGAGGTGTCTGGTGACTCTTGTCACCGGGAGCAGCTGCTGTCCCCAGCGCTGATATATTTGCAGAGGTGTGGGGCCTCCAGCAGACCAGAGGTTTCCTGGTGGCGGGAAACCTCTGTCAGACCCGGGCCAGGGTCCTTGTAGGGACATGGTCAATTCAGCCTGCCCTGTCCACCCTCTGACCCGTCAGCAAGGTGTTTCGGAGCAGCTCCATCTTGGGGGTGCTGTGCTGTGCCTGGGGCTCCTTGAGCTCCGTGCGCACTCAGCGCAATGGAGACTTGTGGGGACGCCAGCATCAGCTTGGCAGGGTGAGGGGAAGAAAAAACAGGGCCAGAAAACCCAGATTCTAGTTTGGGTTGACTCCATCTGGGCGATGCCACCTGGGCATTATGGACACAGCAGATCTTGAGTTTCCTTGCTAGAAGTATCATAAGAGATTCTGTGACACTTCTGTTAGGGTTGCTATACGTCTTCAAAGCAGGAGTCACATTTGGGACTTCAAACTTGTACCCATCATGTTGATCAAAACCACCTTCTATGCAGCGGGGCACCTCCCAACAGAATGGTGGTGATAGACTGACCGGCGCACCCCTGGCTGTGCTGTCTTCCCTTGCCTGAGCCATCCTCTACTTCCTAGGAAAGGCGGCTAACCGGAGATCCCCAGCATACTCCCCAAAGTGTTAAGTCGCTCAGCCCTGTCCCACTCTTTGTGACCCCATGGACTGGGGCCTGCTAGGTTCCTCTGTCCTTGAGATTTCCCAGTCAAGAATACTGGAGTGGGTTGCCATGTCTTTCTCCAGGGCATCTTCCCCACCCAGGGATCAAACCCTGGTCCCCCACATTGCAGGCAGATTCTTTACCATCTAAGCCACCAAGGAAGCCCTCAAAGGACATCCTTAACTATAGTGTGGAAAGCACTACAGAGTTTCAAGGTAGAGGAGAGGAAGGGTAGGCTTGTTACTGTAAAGTCCCCTGAATTGTGCTCAGCTGTGATCTTTATTAATGAGCTGTGTATCCATTGTTGAGTTGATTCGAGTTCTTTAAAGAGAGCAGGAGAAGACTGCAGCATGCCTTCTTGATCACCATACCTATTTCTTAGTCATTTTAAGCTAGTATTACATCTCTTCTAGCTTGGTTTTGGATAAAATTGCTCCTTCATGAAATGATTTTCTATGTTCCTCCTGAAAGTGCCTGTAGACTTCAGAAATCTTTCTGGAGCACTGCTGGCAATTCCTGGTGTTGGTTTCATAGTTGCAGCCCATTATCTTTTGGCAAATCCTTAGAGACCAGGGTTTTGAACTGATTTATGGAAGTTTAGTAAAATTTCTACCTGTTAGTGCAATAATCATGGCGGTTCTTTTGAATAGGGGGCCCCTCTCACTTAGTAAAAAATAAACTACTAAGTTTGATTGAGTACATTAGAAATCCCGGTAAAACTCTTTATGAGGAACTTGCAAATTGTGTCCATTCCAACGGGGAGGACGGTCCTAGGAAAGCAGCCACCGCTGAGAAGTGTGGATTCTTAAGTCCTGAACTACGCAGATCATAGGAGAGACTGTAGTTGTTTCATCATGCTTCCAAGGAGTTACTGGGCAGAGTATTCCATCTCTGCCTCTCTCCACCACCACCCCCTTTTCTCTTCTTCAATAGTAAGGTGAAGGAAAAATGTCAAATCCTGGGATTTTCACTTGAAATTTGCTATTCCATTCTGCAGGCTATGCCTTTAGTATAGGACACATCTCAACTAGCCAGACTTGATGTGGAGGAGTCTCTACTTGGAGCTTCTGAGATGCCATACTATGAGTGTAGACGGGGTTGAGCTTCTGGCTGTTTGTGTGTCCCTGTGAAACGAGATCTCTTTCCCAGGGCACCAGGCTGTTCCTTCTAGCCATTCTTCTCACAGATGTTGCTGGATGGGAAATGTACACAGCCTGGACAGTGACCCTGAGAGCCCCTGGCTGAGATGAGGGGACTGTGGGACGTGCATAGTGGGAGTTGGTAATTGGCTTTAAATAGATCTGAATATAACTTAAAAAAAAAACTATTCAATATGAAGGACAAATAAATGATGAACTGAAAAATCTCTTAAAGAAAGCACATTTGTACTTGAATATGTTTTTCAGTTCTAATTGTTCTCAGGAAGCATCCTTTCAGCCTGTGCTGAAGTGGTTGTGTATGTGAGGGTGCCTGCAACTTGTCCTTTTACCAACAAGCTTGTTTTCAGAGAAGAGAAATCCTTGCCAACTATACACAACTTTCATGTCAGAAAAATAGAAATAAGCCGACAAAAGCCACTGTTAACATGGAACCCACTGTCTTTGTTCCCTTGGGAACGGAACCCTGAAATAACTTCTTTGGGACTGATTGACGTGCCTGATAACATAAATACAGAAGCTACAAAAAAGAATATTCATGATAACTCATTATTATTAAAGACCCTTCCCATGGTATGAAATAAATGGTTTTCAGAAAATAAGCAAGACTTTGGAGCAAGAGTCCTTAACAGTATATCTTCAGTATGATCCCCAAATATAAATGCAAAACAAGCATCTGATATGATGCTTTTTAAGTGCTTTAAATAGCTTACCTCAGTAATCAAACCGTCCCATTAGTTATACCTAAAGTATTACAAAAGCTTAAATTTTAGAGTAAATAAAACAGCTGTTGCTATACCACAGTAAAAATCTTAATGCAAGGATTAAAGAAACATTTAGTATTAAAAGAAGCTATTCCCAGCTTACAATGGATTTATTGTTGGCTGCTGGTCTTCCCTTGTCCAGACCAATCAGTTTAAGAATAAGAAAAACCCAAAGACTCAGGGTAAAATTCAAGCCCTTTCCTTCACTACCATCAACTATATATATATATATATATTAGTAAAGTTAGCATAAAACCCAGAATCAAATGGAGCTTTTTTGGCCTCTGTGGCAGCTTATCACTTGTCAGGATTGCTCTGTGGTACACACTTAAAAATGCCAGTTTTTAAATCCCTTGGGTCAACTGGAAATGGTGTATAAATCATAGCTACATTTATTTCCTTGACATTTCCTGGTTTCCAAACCAAAAAAAGTTTCTTTCCACTTACTTCCTGGCATGTTCACTTTATCTCTCCACTTTTTTTTTTTCCTTTTTGCAACAGTTTAGGAGAGCTTTATAATAACAGCAGCATGTTTAGAACAAGCCAACTGTCAGCGTATTCCTTTCACAAAAATATTTTTAAATTGTTGAATTGGAATTTTATGCATTGGCTTTAAAGATTTACGGCATCACTCCTGAAGTTGGGGATCTATAAGCTGAATAAATTTATACCAGCATGCCGAGAAGGGTAGATGATAAATGGGATTTCAGTCCTACAATTTACTAGTCCTGGCATCTAACCTCTTCAACTTCCTGAGCTCCAACTTCCTCTTTCCTAATATGATGGCCACAACTACCTATGCAGTGATTCGCAAATAAGGTAATGTAAAGTGTTGGTCAGTAAGCCTTTTGATGGCAAGTACCAGAATACCCTTGTGGCTCAGCTGGTAAAGAATCCGCCTGCAATGCAGGAGACCTGGGTTTGATCCCTGGGTTGGGAAGATCCCCTGGAGAAGGGAAAGGCTACCCACTACAGTATTCTGGCCTGGAGAATCCCATGGACTCTATAGTCCATGGGGGTCGAAAGGAGTTGAACATGACTGAGTGACTTTCACTTTCACCAAAATACCCAAGTGTGATCCCTTAAATAACACAGTTGTTGAATTTGCTTGCATAACCAGAGAAGCCTGAAAGTCAGGCTGCAGACCTTGGGTCAGTTCCATGACTTGGCCATGCCTGGGTTCCAGGTTATTATCTGCCATTCTCTTGGCCTTTCCTCATGGTCATAAGATGGCTGCTGCAGCCCCAAGCATGTGTCTTCACAAAAGAATAGCCAAGGTAGAAGGGAAGAGAGCAGGAAAAAGCCATCTTCTCGTGAGACTTCCTCCTTTATTTGAGTCAGGGAAATTTCCTTACAGCCACCAGGCAGAATCACGACCAGTGACCATCATCATCCTGTCAAGGGTAATGGGGTTGCCACAGGAGACTTTGGCCAAGTTTGGTACATCCTCTGAGTCTGGGCATGTTGCCAGTGGAAGAAAATTGTAGCAACTAACAGTGGCAGGTGGGTGCCTTAGAATGTTGCCTTAGAGGAGGACAAGAGTGGGGGTAGGGGAGGGGAAAGTCATCAAACTGGTGCCAGAGTTTTCGTAACCATATTCTCTTCACTGCTGCACACTTTGGGAACACTCTCCAGCCGCAAAATTTCTGTTTCCTTCAAGGTCCTGCTTTCCAGCTCTGCCTCTAGCCATAGTCAAAGACAAGGTTGATAGTTTGGGATTCTCTCTGGCACAATCCTATGCTTTGTAGTTTGTGATCTTGAATCCTTAAGCGCCTCCTGTTCTGATCCCAAAATGACTGGCTGAGTGGCTGGGGATGGCACTCTAGGGTCCTGCTTTCCAACTCTTTCCACATCATGGCACACACAAAAAATGATGACACCTGCACATTACCGGGCAGTAAGTGGAAGAGGTTCCTTGGGCTGGAGGGAACTGTCCTAGCTGCTCTGAGGACCGAGGAGATCAGTAAACCTGAATCCATATGTGGTGCCTT